AAAATAAAATAATTTACCTCATTAAGAAATTCATCAGAAATATTCTGTGAATTATGTAGTTTTTTTAATGCCACAGATATATCCTTGCTAATTCTTTCAACATTATCATAATTTATACATTTATAACCATTTAACCAAGTAGCTTTGGATATAGTTGCAAACTTACCTTCATCAATCTTTTCAATATTTGTTAAATCATTATAAGGAATCCATTGAAGATAATAATCATTCCAATATTTTATTGCTTTAAGTTGTGTGCTTTTAATCAACTCATCTAGTATTTCATTGCCACTAGTCCACCCTTCAGTTAATAATTTTGGATCACATGATTGACACCATGCCCAATAAGTATTATATCTATTGCAGGTTGGACATTCTCCATACTTTTCATCTCTTTTCTTTGAATATTCATCATTTTCGTCAGTAGAAGTATTGTCATGATGTTTAATTTCATCCAAAGTGTTTTCCATTGTGGTTTTTCATTATATTTGTATAATTTGTCAAAAAAAAATTTTTTTTTCAGTCACAAACATGTATCACACAAAAATAACATTAATATTTATGTCTATTTCCGTTAAAAAAAATAAATTTTACCTGAATTACAATAATTCAGCAATACGTAAATAAATTTGGCGATCTGAGTTATTGGAATTACCAAATCTGGAAAACTAAATTAAAATCACTATACTGCTTGATTAGGGTTTCTATTCGAATAAAGTTTATTCAAATTATTTGTTTCTCATTATGAATGAGTATTTGAATTACATTGAAAGTTTATTCATAAAATGAATAACTAATAATTTGATAATTTAATAATTCAAACAAAAGGAATGAACGAATAATTCGAATAAGACAAATAAACAAAAATAAATAATTCAATCGATAATTTAAATAAAACAAATTAACAAATAATTCGAATAAAATGAATGGTTCTAATAGTTCTAATAAAAAAACGAATAAACGAATAATTCGAATAAAACAAATAAATGAATAGTTCGAATAAACGAAATAATTCAAATAAAACAAATAAATGAATAATTCGAGTAAAACGAATATTTTGAATATTTCAAATAAACGAATAATAATAAACGAATGGTTTGAAATAAAACGAATAATTCGAACATTTCAAATAATTTGATTAAAACGAGTAATTTGAGTAAAACGAATAATTCAAACAAAGATGGCTCCTCAATTAATTGCGGCATATGAAAATTGAATTGTGGCTAATTGCAGTTCCCATCTTTAATAAACAAAATCAACGAATAGTTCGAGTAATAATTTGAATAAAATGAATAAACGAATAATTCAAACAAGACGAATCGAATAAAATGAATAATTCAAACAAAACAATTCGAAATAAAACGAATGATTTGAAATAAACGAATGATTCGAATTAAGATCGAGTTGTGTATTATTATTATGAATAATTCGAATAAAGAATTTGCATTACGAATTTACGAATAGAAATTTTGTTGATATAACATAAAAAATGAACAAGATATTCAGGAAATAGTAATAGATTTTTTCCACAATGATAAAATTCCAATTTTACTCTAATACTAATTATTTGACCAACCGAGAACATAGTCAGATAAAATAATATATTTATTATTCAAATAAAATTTTATAACAATAAAAAGTTAATTCTATACATCAACCATGTTTATTTTAAAAAAAATATTCGTTTAGCTGTCAATTATTTTTCCACTATTTATTATTAATACCTACTATTACTACTATATACCATTATTATTCGTTATTAATACCACCACTATTGCTATTATACTATTGTTAGGGTTTTTTTAAAAAGGAATGAACTTTTTTTCTACCACGAATTTCCACCCACGAATATGTATTACTAATACTAACAAAAAAAATTTCCACGGGAGAATGTACGGAAAAAATACTAATACTAATGCGGAAAAATAGTAATTTTCCGCATTAGTATTTTTTTCCAATTTCGGAATTATTTTTCATAGTAATAGTAATAGGGAAGGCTGATCAATTGGATTTAAAGAAAAGCATACTTTAAAGAATATATGAACTAATCCTATATCTGCATCTGAGCACATCGTAATTAATGAAAATAAGCGAACAAGGAATACTTTCAACAATTATTCCAAATGAGCAAAATAAAGCGGATGAATTTATTAAAAATCTCCACCTGCTCCAAATGACGAAACTTTATCTAAAAGTTGCAATTAAGTGATATTGAATTTAAGTTATTAAAGAAAATTTAAAAAATCGACTTTGATTCAAATCAACAATCAATATTATATAAATCGCGTGATGATTGATAGCCTTTTGGCACAGCCCAAAGGTTCCCTATAGAACGAGTGGGCTGCACTCACCAAACAGACACCGAATAATCTTAGGATATTAAATATGGTATATTTCAACTTTTGGCCTTCAAAATTGAATGTTTTTCCTTGGGCGTTCCAGAATCGATTTCCATTTTTGGTTTGTGCTACCATAAATAATCCATGGTGATTTACCATTATTTGCAATAAAAAGAAAGGATTTTTTTTAAATCAAATATCCAAAATTATTATTGGGATTTATATTTATAAAAATAAAATAATAATGTATCCTATATCAAATAGCAATAATAATAGAGTAATTAATGCTGCTCAACACATGCAACAGATGCTTACTCAACAACAACAACTTCGACAACTTCAATCAGTACAACAATTGCAATCAGTTCAACCAACTCAATCAATACAACAATCAGCTCAATCAGCACAACCAATACATTCTGTTCAAGCTCCACCTTATCGAAATCAACAGTATCTTCTACTTCAACAACTACAACGACAGCAATTATTTAGACAAAAAATGATGGCGCAATCGTATAATAATAATAACAATAACAATAATTTTTTTACTACTATTGCTGCTACATCTAATAATGTTAACAACAATATTTCAAACAATCCAACAAATAAAAATAACAATAGTATTAATAATAATGGCCATAACGATCAACAACAACAACTGCCGCCGCCACTACCAACAAGAATATTACGACAACCGCGTGTGGCGCCAATAAATTTAAGAGCTTCACAACCTACTCAACCCATTCAATCCGTTGGTTGGCTTGTACCTCAAATACCAACATTCGCGCAATATCAGCCACCACCACCACCACCAATACCTTTACCACCACAATTATCATCACGCGTTCTACCACCATTATCATCTACTACTACGAGGATACAGTCACGAGGGCCTAATTCTTTAACACCTGCATCACATGATCAACAACAACAGCAACATCATACTACTACTATACAATTGCCATTACCTTCTGAATTGGAACCACACCAGACAACTCATTCTTGGACAATTCGCGGTTTTCAAGATTTGACTAAATTGATGCACGGTGATGCTTTTATATATAGTGATAGATTCAAATCACCAAGAGGTATAAATGACACAAGTTATTTAAATCAACCACAACAAATTTGGAGCCCAGTATCACTTTCCAATGGTATTAACCATGATGGCGGTGACGATTATTGTAATAACGGCAATAATAATGATGATGGTCATACTACTAATAAAAATAATAACAATAATACGAAAAACGAACAAGATTCTGATTATGTATGGAGAATGAAAGTGTATCCAAATAGATATCAGAATGAAGTTTCTTTATTTCTAGAAGCTATTCAAACACCTTTTGAAAAAAAAAATTGTTTTGTGAGAAGGAATAACATTGAATTTCATTTCTCCGTTTATCAATTATTAAAAGATTCTTCTTCTACCTTTTCTTCTTCTAATGATAATAATAACATTGATAACTGCTCTTCTTCCTCTTCTACTTCTTCCTTTTTAACATCACCTTCATTATTAAAAGATTCTTCAAAAGAGACTCCACGATTGGTTTATGTATCTGATAGATTCAAATGGAATTTTGATTTACAAGGTCAATGCGGTTATTGGGGAATACACTCTATTGGGACATTTCAAGATCTTTTTCAAAACCATGTGAATAATGGTGTTGGTAGTGTTGGTCAGAAAAGAATAAAGATTGAAGAGGATGTCAATATATTTATAAGAGTTCATATTCACACTTTTACTAAACCACAACTACAGGACTACTATAGAGATTTTGATGCTAATAATGCTAATAGCAGCAATAGTTTTAGTAACGTTAATAGTAACAATAATAATAGTTTTAATTTTAACAATAATAACAACAATAATATTTTTAGTTTTAGCAATGGTGGAGGTGTTGAACAACAACAACAACAACAACAACAACAATGTTCTACATCATTTGAAAGATTTTTTAATAATGACTCATTTTTTGACGTTGAGTTTATATTCAATGAACAAGATAATTATGATGTTGTTAATAAGAATATTGATTTTATAAGTGATAATTCTAATTCTTGTCCTACATCATCATCTCCATCATCTCCTTCTTCATCTTACACTTCCAGTCCATCTAATATAAGAACAATCAAAGCTCACAAAGTCTTACTTTCGCAACGATCAGAATATTTTGATAGCATGTTCAAAAGTGGTTATAAAGAATCTACGATGAAGAGAATACCAATTAAAAGTACATCATATGAAGTTTTCTATGCAATAATATATTACCTCTACTCGTTAAAACTACCAGATAATAACAACAACAGCGATGACATCAATCATGACAACAATAGCACCAACGACAATAATAACAACAATCATATGTCATTATCATATGAAACATTAAAAGAAATTTATATTAATGCTGATATGATGCGATTAGAACATTTAGCGAAATTGACTTCCGAACGATTATCATATATGATAAATCATGATACATGGGATCAATTGTTGAAGATTACCTGGCGATCAAATATCGCACCAGCTAGTAGATTACAATTGAAAAAGGTGATTTTGGAGTATGTATATAAGAATTGGACATTTTTAAAGGCTACTGAGAGTATGAAAAATTTGATTGCTACTTCGTCTATTGAAAATATTGAAGAGTTGATGGAAACTAAAATGTTTGGTGTTTCTAATTAATTGATGGATGAATGAAGAAATGTGATGAGATTTATGCGGAAATGAAGATTGAGAATTATATGTGCATATATATATATATATATATAATATAATTTATAGTTTTTATAAATAATTTGATTTTATTTTAAAAAAAAGCAAGACTATAAAAAAAAAAGGATTGTAAATTTTTTTTTTTTTCAATATTTAGTCTATCTATTTGCTGTAATACTTGTTTTTTTTAATAAAAATATTTCAAGTCAAGTTTGATAGTCCATCCAATTTTTAAATTAACACTTTTATTTGGTTTGGTTGCCTTTTCTTCTATTACTGTATATGGTGGCGTCACTTGAGCTGTTTTGTTAATTTAGCTTTGTGATTTGGACCTTGGCAGTGTTGAAAATTCAGCGGGAGGGTGTAACGTTACACAAGCCGTGTGCACATATCGTTTTTTAGAAAATTTTATTT